ACATGGGGAGTTGCAATTCATCTCGGACACATCAGGAAAATAAAATAAAAAAATAGAATAAAATCATCATCGGATCATTTTTGATTATTATATCTTCCGGCACACCCCTCATCTGACAACCGTGACGGGATATATAACTGAGAAATTCACTACGTCCCTGCAAATGCAAAAAAGCCTCGGCTTAATGCAGTTTCTGCAAAATTTAAAATTACATTACGGGCGAAATGCGTAATTCGAAGAACTTTTTACTTCTTTAATTTATCCAGCAAACTTGATATGATTTAGAGGTTATCGCAAGATGTATTTTTATCATAAAATTCATTAAAAAATAAAATCAGTTCAGAACGTTCCACAGCTTTTAACAAATTGCATAAGGGGCTGGAGATTCGAGGATGCATTCTTAAATAAATTACCTTCCCTGACTTACAATATTTAAAAATAATTATTTGGAAAAATTTTAGAACGTGAAATCGCTAAATTTAAATCAGATGAAATAATAATAAGCAAATGAATTGTGTTTTTCCCCAGTGACAGTTTATAATAATAATGACAACAGAAATCTTTGACATTTCCTACTGATGCCAATTTCAGCAAAACCATTAGGATAACAGGTGTATTTTTTATGTGACACCTTGTACTAAATAATGCAACACGTTTTTAGGGAGACGTTTTAAAATACTTTCCAGATCTCTAGATTTGTTAAAATTAAAAATAAATAAAGGCCGCCTAAATTATAAAATTAAAAATTCGAAAAAAAATGAGTTCGAGAAAACCCGGAAGAAATATGTCGTACACATAGCATAATTAAAAGCATTTCTTCTCTAAAACACATTGAAAGTAATGAAAATAAGGAAGTTCAATATACTTCAATACACTTAAGATCATCATGTACCTTAGTTTCTTAATAAAAAAATAATATCAATTGCAAATATTGTTGCAATTGGTATTATTATCTGCAACTACTGTTGCAATTACTGCAACTATTGCAACTACTGTTACAATTCATTTGGAATTACAGCTCTTTATTTCACTAATTCAGGATTTTAGCTGATTGCTGTAAAGTTAATTTTGGCACTAGAAAAATATTACCGTTTCAATTTTAATACGTAAAGTCAAATTATAACGCATTTCCATCCTCCATTCTGCATGTCTTCGTGGTGAAACGGTAGCACACTCGGCGCGCATTCGAGAGGTCCAAGTTCGAGTCCCGGCTAGGGCACTGCTCATTTTTCACGTCTCCTTCTTCAAAATAACTTAATGACTCTACAGGGAAGCCCGAACTAAAATAGATGGTGGATGGTGGATGATGATTCTTCACCACCAGGATTTGACGATTCGGTCCCTTAATCCCCAGCCGCACTTTAGAAGGGAGAGTATATAATGTATTTCCTGTCTCCTTTCTGCATGCCTTCGCGGTGTAATGGTTAGCACAGTCGGCGCGTATTCGACACGTGCAGGTTCGACTCCCGGCGAGCGCATTTCTCAATTTAACGTCTTCAGCATAAAATATCTAATACTCTAAATAAAAATAAAATAAACAATAAAAATAAACTTTTCAACATGAGAAGGAAAAATATTTTCAATTTAATGGCCTATGCTTTAATAAAATAGGCTGTGCTGCTACTTTAAATAATTTTTGGAAACAAGTGATTCTTTTTAAACATACTTGTTAAAAACCTGTTACCCATATTACTAACAACAGGAATAAAACACTGATATATTAGATTACAAGAGTTTCGCTATTAAATTATTCTGAATCAATGGAAATGGTTTACAGGATGTTTTATAAGAGAATTTTGAATATAAATCTTCCCATTTTAAAACAGAGTGAAGTCACTGGGATAAAAAGTCTTAAAAAATAAAAGTCCTGTAAAATGGAATATTGTTTAAGGGGACTCACACATCTTAAAATCCACAAGATCTTTCGAATATGTGACTGTTGCAAGAATTGGGATAACTTATTTATTTTAAAAGCAATTATTTCCAACCTTTTACAGCTGTCTACATAATATAGTCGCTTTCTAAAATAGTAACGAGAACGTTTGTGTTGCCTCAAATATTTTTTTATAATTTAATCCACTTTGTGACAAAATTTTTTGTAATATTTCCACCTTGCGCGCGCAGTTTAAGACATTCTATTGCATAATTTAATTCCATATTTAATATATAGCTTTTATAACATTTGGAAATTACTGTGAACCCAAAATTCTAAAAATTTCACGTTAAATTTTTATTTTATTAGGAGTTGAATTTATAAAATGTATTTTATTAAAAAATTTTGTAATGTTTTCGTGCATAAAATTTTTTAATATTAAAATATTCATCAGATTTTTGGTTCAGTTAGAAAATAATGTCCATATAAAGAATTCAATTAAATTTCAAATATGTACCATTAGCCATTTTTAAAATATCATGCTCGCAAGATGGAAACATGACGAAACCTTTTGTCACAAAGCGGATTAAATTACAAAAACAGTTGGTGCAAAGAAAACTTTCTGGTTACTAGTTCCCAAGGCAGCTATATTATGGAGTCAGGCATAAAAAGTTGGAAGTAATTGCTTTTAAAATAAATAAAATATCCCAATTCTTGCAACAGTCACATATTCGAAGATCGTAATGGGTTAAGGTGTATGAGCCCCCTTAAACTAAGTCATAGGTAAATTGCTGTTAACTTTAAAGAAAGCTTAATCTCGAAAGATTTTACCAAAGCCTTAGGCATGAAAAAATAAACAGAATGTAAGTTAACGACTTAAAAAAGCAATTATTTTACTTGGTCTAACATAATAAAATCGCATTTATGTACAATTGTCAAAATGTTTATAATCTTTTATGTCTCTTTACTGCCGTAAAACTATGCACAGGAATGCAAACTAAATCGCCGAGAAAAGAAATTTGAGACAAGCACTTTAAAATAAATTCATCACGTTCTACTTACTTACCGGAAAGAAACCTTCATTTTAAAATGAGATTCATGGTTTTATTTAATGAGAATTTAACTAAAAGGTTTTAATATTTTACTTAGTTTACCCATCTCCTTTACCCACCACAGAGAAAAAAAAGACACAACACAAAATTCACTTCCCTTTGTTGATGCACCAAAAAAGTTAGATCTTGAGTAGAGGATTATGGTGACTATTTGTTCATTATGGATTTTAATTCTTTGCGTTGTTGATCTTTAGAAACGTCTAAATCACATAACAGATATTTGTATACTCCAGCATAAAATACCTACTGACTTAAACGGATGCTGATTAAATCTATTAAAAAAACTCTTGTAGTATAACTTTTCTGGCTGAAATCTTATTAAAAGAAGATTTTTTAAAATACCAATTACTCATGCTTAGTTTTTCGGATTCTTTTCCTGGTTGTCCTGTCAGTTATCTGTATCAGCAGTTTAGTGGTATCGCATACGTTTATGTAGATATTAAATTAGGTTTCTTTAAAAAGTTCTTAACAAAACAATCTTTCTTTGGCACATAGTCGTTAAATGCTCAACAATAGAGCAGGATATGAACAGAAAAAAATAATAAATGCCATCCGTTGAATAAGCATAGCAGCTTAGAATTTATGCATGGTGTCATTTTCATGCAGTATTCAAGACAAAAATTTAATAGTAACACTGTTTATTTTTCTATTTACGTTCTCGTATTTCATTGTCCTGTCAGTTTCGTTGTCCTGTCAGTTATCTGTATCAGCAGTTTAGTGGTATCGCATACGTTTATGTAGATATTAAATTAGGTTTCTTTAAAAAGTTCTTAACAAAACAATCTTTCTTTGGCACATAGTCGTTAAATGCTCAACAATAGAGCAGGATATGAACAGAAAAAAATAATAAATGCCATCCGTTGAATAAGCATAGCAGCTTAGAATTTATGCATGGTGTCATTTTCATGCAGTATTCAAGACAAAAATTTAATAGTAACACTGTTTATTTTTCTATTTACGTTCTCGTATTTCATAAACATAAATAATAGCTTAGCTTTACTTATCTCGCTGTATACCTAATATATAAATATATTATGTAAAGTAGCAAAATAAATGGACAATAAAATGAAGAGATCAAAACCGAAGCATACAAATACGATAAAAAGAAACTCCTGTAATCACTATACTCACGCAATGAAATAGTTATCTTAGAAAGCATATAAAAACAAGTAAACAGTTAATTAATAAAAAGTCAGAAAAAATTGTATAGGAAGCTAAGGCAGCTACAGTAGCATTTGAAAATGTTCCCGTGAAATTAAACAACAAAATGAAATGCATTCAATTCGTTATTAATTGCTACAAAATAAATATTTTTATAACAAAAGGCATAGCAATAATAAATACAGCCTCTTATCTGGTACCTACTTTCGAATTTCTAATTTTCTGTATATATGCTCGAGAAAAAAATTTCAAAACATCCTTTATTCGCTAGTTTTTAAGAAAGATTCCTGATCAGAATTTCAAATTTAAACCTTTCTTGGAGAAAGAGAATTTTCATCCGTTAATAGTGCACTTTAGCGTGCATGCATGAAACACATTCTACTCTCTCTGAAAACAAATTAAATGCACTAGTAGTTCAAATTTGGTAATGCGTAAATAAGAAGAAATTAAATTTGAGTTCTAGCTCGAACAGCTAGACTTTGATCATATTTAATGCCAACTACATTATACACTGGTCTTATTAAATATATATTATGTACACCTGAAACTTTTGTCGCAGGTACTTTTACATCTTCAGTATAGTTTTGTTTGCTTCCCGTTACATTTATGATAGCTGTTTTCAGAGAAAATTATTTGACCTACCTTTCGGGGAAACATAGGCAAATCAAGGGTATGAAATCAAATATGCATCTGTGCAAACCATTTTCATTTAATTTCGAGTGTTATCACGTGGTTGAACGAACTTCCAAGTTGACCACATTGGCGCAATCGCTTTAGCTTCGATGACGTATGCGATGGTTGTGGAGGGTGATGGGAGCTCCAGAAAAGGTGGATGGGAGAGGTTAGGGAGCACGTGGAGAGCGCGTATTTTCTATCCTTGCCTCTTCCAACTCCCCGCATCCTGTAAAACTCTGAGAAATGAGGCTCGCAATGCTAAATCTTTACATTACTGACTGAACAACTTGCACTGGATTCGTTTTGAAGAGATGTTGGTGTTTTACACGATAGCCTTACTTGTGCAACAAGTCAGGTAGGAAATTTTTTAGTCTGTTTGAAAACAACTTCTAAACTGTTAATTGTTTAAATGAATTATTTTATTAAAGATTTCTGATGAATCCGCTTGAAATTTAAGTCATTTATAACTACTCGACAAGTTTTCTGAGTGGCTATCACTTGACAAAGTGAACTAGCATGCAAAATAAAATCTGAGTATCGATACTTTTCACGAAATAATGTAACCAAAGAAAGGTATAAATGCACATAAATATGAATAAAATTCAATTCGAAAGTAATATCTTACACGTTCAATGGTCTCATTTCTGAAATTCAAATTGCATCTTTTCCTCTGCATAAATGACTTCTTTTTATGATGTAAGACAAAATATATGATTCAACTTCAAATAACTTGCATTTGAGAAAAATAAGTAAATGAAAAGCTTGTTTCGAATGTGTACTGCATGATGTAGATATAAAATTAAAATTTTTAATAAACTGTGCCCAAAATTTAGTGCAATGTGCTGTGCAATAAATATGCAACATACATTACACTTTTCTTAAACGAAGTAAAAAGTATATTTTAATGAGAAAAGGTGAGTTCTTAAAATTTTATAAACTCTCAATAATGAGCGATATGACTGTATTTTAGCGGGGAAAGATATTTATTTGAACTATTAACATACCGAAATCATTAATAAGTAATAATCTTTATTACAGATGTTACCAATTGAGGACCTATTATTATAAGATTTTTTTAAATAATCGTTAATGTGTTGGTGAGGTAAATTAAAGTAGTTATAAACAAAAGGTAACATACTTAACTTCGCCATTTAAATTTACTATGTTATTGCAATCAACCAAAAACATAATTATTCCGCTCTCATCTGTATTTCATTTTGCGCTAATGTTTAATTTTTTTCAGAAACTGAATTTCAGGACTTGGTATTAAAATGAGCTATTTGTATTAACATCACTACCTGGAAATTTTTTGGAATATTAATAATATTAAAGCTGTTATATATCTCAGTCTGCGTGGCGCGCATAGCTGACAAATGTAATGTTTTTTTAATGCAGCAAGGATTAAGCGTCTGTCTTAGCAAAATGTGTAAACATTAATATGGTATTAATATTTCATAATGTTATCATTACGATACATCAAACAACTAACGTATTTTAGAAAGCCCTTAAAACGATCGAACTGTAGTCGCTTTAAGTGTGTCAAATGTATCATGAAAGCACATAACCTCATTTTATAATTAAAAGAAATTTAAAAAGGTTATATAATTTGTTCCTCTTTATTATTTTATTAATTTTATTGATAGAAAAAGCAAATTAGAACAATCTTTTCAATGCATCAAAATTTTATTATTTCACACATATGTCTTTTAAAGGGAATACCATGCACTTTTATTTAATATACGTGTACTTACAATACGTTTCTATTTACAACAATTTGCATGCATAATAAAATATCCCTGAACTTATAAATTGCATTTATAAAGCTAAAAGTTACTTTTTATACAGTTTAAATACATTAGCACACGTATTTCCCTAGAGAGACAAATTCTTGAATATTCAAGTGCTTGGCACATTGTTATTCTGAGATTTTAAGCCAAATATTATTTTATGCGATTAAGCTTGATATTTTCTTTTCTTTTATTGATTTTGTTACTATTGAAATTTTTGTAAAAAGCATAAATTAAATTTCTAAATTTTTGATAGATAATAAAACAGAAATTGATTTTTAGAAGCAATCGAAATTCCTTTCTCTTCTGCGGACATATATATGTTTTCCCTGTAATTGGTAAAGAGATATAAGAAAGTAACGTTGCACATTTTAAAATAATTTCAAAAGCACAACTATATTGCTTGTACGTAGGTCATTATTTTGGATTTAGAAGACAAGCATCACTTTAATTCCAGCTGATTATTGCCCAAAAGTAGTTGAAACTGTTTTGTTACACGTACTGAAATGGAATTTACAGAAATGTTTATTTCTTTTCTTGTTTACTATTTTTAGCGCCTATTTAAAAAGGAATTGAAAGAGAGAAATATCTTGAAGTTTTCCTAAAGTTCTTTTGCCAGCATTCACGGCCTGAATTGTTGCCACACTTTAGAAATTATACAGCAATGCTTCAGTATGTGAAACTGAACAATGACCAAAAATGTAGTAATATTGCAACAGAATAAAAAAAAAAGAATGAGTTATAGTGGTTTAGTCATAATCTATCAACGCGCATGTTTTCTTTAATTATTAAAATCTTTAGAGCAATGGTCAAATAGATTGCTTACTTGGAGAACAAATATGCAAAGCAAAGGATGCAGATGAAGTAGGAGAAATAAATGTGGTATACAACTAAAAATGAAACTGTTATTATTTGCACAAGAAACGTTTGTGCGAACTATATCATTAACAATTAACGAAATATTGTAAAAACAATTATTGATATTACCTGCTCACTACATTACAAAAGGAAAAATTGAAGCAATTGTGCAGATAGTTAATTACAACTTTAAAGAGTGACAAAAGTCGCTCACTGAGCTTTGATGTTTCATATATATCCCATTCGATTCTGTGAAAATTTCACGTTTATGATAAACGCTATTTAATGCTTGCTAACACAGTTTAAGGTTATATACAAAATGTTAGTTTTAAAGGACATGCCATATTTCGCCTAAAATTAATAACTTTAAAAAATGCTTTATCTTCTTTTGCTCTCATGAAGCATAACAATTCAATGAGCTTTCATTAAAATTACAGCTGGCATATACACATTTGAATTTTCATTTAAGTTGACTAATAGTTATCAAAGTTACGTTGATTACGTTGATTCTTTCCTGTGTGCCTTGTTTCGTTACGTACTTGCTTAGCCTAAAGGGTTATGTAGATTTTATGGCAAGCGCTGTAGATTAAAATGAAAACGAGAATCATGACAGCCGTGATTTATAATCCCGACTTGTTTCTTACCGCCACTGCAGCTTTCTTTTAGAAAGAAAGATGCTGATAGAACAGATGTGAATGCCTGACATTGCACTGTTGGTAAAAGGTAAATATTAGCTGAGCTTTATCTGTCCAACCAGTTAGTGTTGTATCTTCGCCTGGATTTATTGCGAATGTAGCTTAGTTAAAATACCGCCAGCTTCAGCCAGCTGATGGGTTAAGAAGACTTTGATGTAGTGTTGCATTATTTCAATTTAAATTCATTAATTGTGAGGCTATAAAGTTTTAAGTTTACCTTTACGTTGGGTGTAGTATCTTGTCTCCACTGTCAGAATTTAGGAAAGGGGATAACGTGCTGTAGAGGCCACTTCTAAAGGTAGCTATATAAAGTCACCAGAAATTTTTTTCCATCAGGAATCTGAAGAAATCCGAAGGGCCTTAGTTGGGATTCAAACTACTACCCTTCCGAATACGAGTCGAGCATACTTCCAGTAACACCAGGAAGGAATGCGGAAAGATGGAAGAAAATACATATACATATTATAAGTTATAGCAGAAGTGCTTGAGTAGTAAATACCCTTAGACATTCTGTGTAAACAATTGAATTTTGTATTCTTATAACCTTACCAGATTGTTCTTTTAAAAGAAAACGTTTTCAGAAGTATAAATTTGAATAAATTATGCATTAGAAATTGTCCTATGCTACTTTGAATAACAATAGAATAAAAATAAATAAATAGATGCAATTAATTATAACCATTCATACATTATATGCAAATAACCAAGGTTGAAAAACAAGGGCAAATATTATTGAATAAAACATTATGACAGAAAAAAATGCAGCAAATCTTAAAAATTAAAAATTATTGCCATTAAATTATGGAAGAAGAAAATAAGATATTGTGTAGAAACTTTTATTAAAACTAATATATAATTATTTAATTTACCCGTACAAAAGTTTCAAAAGTATACACACAGCACACTTCTTAACATTAATTTCTTATAACTGTTATCTTCCAAGGAAATTTTATATAACATGTGAATGACATATAAATGTTCTGTATTTTCAAAGCCGTTCACTGTTTTTTGATTTTTCTGGGCATGCAAAAATCTACATCGTTATTGCTTAATAAAGTAAAAACCTTGTATTTTAAACTTCTGACATACAGTCAAATTTATAAGTAGCTCGAAAGAGGTTATAAGGTATTTCTCCCACTTTACTAGCGTGCCTTCGTGGTGTAGTGTGGTTCTGCATGCTGGGACGGTATTCCAAAGGTACGTGGTTCGATTCCCGGCGAAGACGTTGCTAGGTTTTCATCTTGCCTGCTCCAAAAAAATATCTAATGTCTCTACAAGTTTAATAAATGTAAATTATAGACTGTGAAATCTAGAACCGAATTGCTTTCGTAGATCAGCAGTGTCCTACCCCAGTTGAAATCCTGGCAGTCTGTCTCTTTATCTGAGGTTTTTTATGGCTCTCTTCGTGTATAATACGAATATGAACCACTTTTGCTTAGAAAATGCTTATTGAAGGCTTCTCTTTCTTTAAGCTTATGTAACCTTAAATAATTAATCTAATTAATTTTTATCAAGCCTTAAGATTATGATCATATTTCACACGCTTATTTGGGCACATTTTATTTTAAATTTAACTAATAAAACACCTATTCCTGCAGTATTTTGTATCTGCTTTTTTCTAACATCTTTTGGAGATGTTTATAATAACAAAGTTTTGATTACTGCTTCTCCATACTAAGATATATCACGATGTTTTGGAAGTGCAATATTTTCAGTTCCTTTTTCTGTTAGCTTGACCGTACGATGAAGGTTTTTGATTGCAAGCTTTGTCATTACTTTGTTTCCCGCCGTAGACTTCTTTTAAATTTGTTTCCTGCATGAACATTTGATCAAGGAAATTTTAAGCCAATGCATTTTAGATATGAATAATTTCAATTTCTTATAATATCTTACTTTAAAAATAACGTTTATTTCGAAATTCTAATTAGATTAAGGTGAATGGTGATAATTTTTTATTACTGCTGAAGAAGAAAGAAATCAGTAATAAAACTCTTTCCTCGACTTAAGAGAACAGT